TTACCAAAAGCAGTTCCCATATATGTGTCTGGCTACCTCTGCTCATCTTTACAGCAAGAAGAAAAAGGCGAACAGTTATGAACAAGTTGACCAAGAAAAATACAAAAGCTTGGTATGCTCTGTTACATCTTACAAAGCCAGTGCTCAAACACCAGAGACAATATTTGAAGAAGACAATTTATTATATGGACAACCGCTTAAACGTAAATCTTCAAATGAAGTTGAAACAAAAACTCCTAAGAACTGGGTTTCTCTAATAAATCCCAAAAAGACAATTCCGCTTGTGAGCAGCAATTCAAACCGCCCCATGAAAATTGCTTTACAAAAAAACAAAATACCCAGTGTTACCCGTATTCTTCAACAGACCATGTCTCCGCAGCAGGCCTTTTATCTAGAAAGATGGAAGCAAAAAATGATACTGGAACTTGGGAAAGATGGTTTTGAAGAGTATACTAAAAGTAAGTCTTATCACGGTGTGGTGACAAAGCAGAAGCAATGGTATGTCCCAGTAGTGACAACTGTCCAGACTAGCATTGCTGGAATGTCTGGTTCTAGAAGTTGAGTGTTTTGAAAATCCATTAAGTTGTTTCAATTTCAGAGGTCAGAGTATATTATGAGGGCACATGTTGTCAGTGTAAGCTCTAATCTTTGTTTGAGGACCGTTAAAACTGATCCGGAAATGAGTGGGGAAAATAGAATTAGACTGCAGACTCCTTTGCTCTATCCTATCTGCCTCTGCTGTTTCTCTATTTGCTACTTTCTCTTTACAAATATATGTTTTCCAGCTGAATTTATTCAGCCTGTTTGGAGATACAAAGGTATTTTATAACTAGGTGAAAAGAAGCATTCTGAAATTATATCGTCCTGATTGTTCAGAAGACTGCACATATTGCTGTATATGCTGAAGTTCATGAGAAACCGTGTATATATGGTATATACAGCTTCTTCCATGAAGTTCAGAGGTTTTAGAGGTTCTCATTTAATGAAGTCACATACAAAAATGACTTCCCTCAAGCTGTAGGGCTGAAGACAGTCTGAGGAGGCATGGAGGATAATGCCTTTTGCAGAAAGGCTGGTAAATACCCTCTAGCGCTCCTTACTTGAACAGTTATTCTTTGGAAAACTGTATATCCTTCTTTATGCTCTTCTCAGTTACTAAGCACTTGACTGAATAAGCTTACTAGGTAAAACAGACACAAACCTGATACAGCTATTTAAAATTATTCTTCTGTGCAACATTTCTGAGATAAGCCCTTACTGTACAGAACTATGCCCATCCACTTCAGATTTGTTCAATTCAGGTGAACCTGTACAACATAGAAAGCAAATGTGATGAGAAACATAGAATAATGTTTTTAAATTTACAGAAATTCTCATTTGGAATACACAGTAAAATAATGCCATTGACTAAACAGTGAAGTTCTTATTTTCTTTCTGCGGAATTAATGAAACCAAAACAAAGTCAAGTAAGCGTTAATACGAGAGAGAATTTCTCTTTGATAGTTATTTTGCTGTCTTACTGTATTCCCTGCCCTACATCCTTAAGCCTTCAGTATTAAAAGGTGGCTAGTTTAAGAGTTACTTTGTGTAATATCTATTATGCATGCTTGCCACATATTATGTATAGTACCTAAAATGTTGCATCTTTTCTAGATCTTTTCCTCCAGGGAGAGCTTTTTCATGCAGCTTTGGAATCTATATTTCTGCCTGAAGAGATGGCTGTTAAGGAGCAAGGAGAAGACTCTGCTGTTTCTGGCTACCTATCAAGCGTGCAACATGTCCTAAAAGATATCAGTGAAGTTAAAGCTCTGGAAAGTGCAGTTCAGCATGAAACTCTTCAGTATCTGGGCCTGGTAGACTGCGTGGCTAAGTATCGGTGAGGTGCTGGTTCTCTAAGAAGCCAAATAATGTCCAGCTGCTGTGTGGTGTTATGTGGCATGTGGGGAGCTGTGTCCTGTGATGGAGCAGGTGTGTTGGTGAGCTACAGAGGGGGAGCTAGAAGGATATTCAAGAAGGGTGAAATGGAAGGACTCAGAGGTGAATCTGCTGACAGAATTGTTATAGTGCCTTGTGGAGGATTTGTTTTTGACCAGAGTGTGAGCAGGGCAGTTACCAGGAATTGCAGGAAGTCTTTTTTTGAGATCTAAACTGCCAGCAAAGGGAAGATTTTCTTAGTTTGGAAGTAATAATGAGCAGCATGACTTTGGGTGGAAATGGGTTGAAAGTGATATGACTTCTTTTGCTGTGCTATACCTTGTTTCCTGCTGTGAGTGAAGTTAAGCTGATACATTCTCTCTTGTCTTATGCAGAGGACAGTTATGTGTGATTGATTGGAAGACATCAGAGAAACCAAAGCCATTTCTGCAGAATACTTTTGACAACCCACTGCAAGTTGCAGCATATATTGGAGCCATAAATCATGATGCCAATTATGACTTCCAGGTCAGTAAGTCTGCTGCCAGCCAAGAGAAGCAGCAGTGCCTGTGTTACTCTCATTTCTCCCCTCTTACTGCTTTTATCATGAACTGTTGTTAGGATTTGTAACCAAACAGTCCTGTCTTAGGTCAGGCTAAACTGACATACAACTTTACTGCAAAATAATTCTACTATTCTTCCTGCTGCCATGGCTTGTCCGTAGTATATTGTCTGATTTTAAGGAAAGCCCTGTTCAGTGGGAACAATTGTGTCCTAGAAGGTCCAGTAAAGCTGTAGTGATTGGTATTTTGTGAGTCCTTGGTGCTTTGTTCTGTGTAGTTTTATCTTGTGTCAGGACTAGGAAAAGAAAGAAGAAATAAAACAAAAGAGCATGCAAACAGGCAAATGGGATGGGAACGTATTGCTCATGTCATGTGATGCTCTTAAGACTCCAAAGGTAATTGTAGCCAGGCCTGCTTGACCCAAAGCTTTGAAGGGGCAAAATGTGAAGCAGATCCTTAAAGTGCAGTATAGGAGGTAATTCGAGGATTCTGTTATTCTGATTCCTACCACTTTCTCTTCACCTTCCTTAAGGTTTGGATATTACAGCTGTTTGTCAAGTATGAAGTATTTCAGAACATATTTCTTACAAATTAAATGTTTCTTATTTAAGATATCAGAAAGCACTTCACTGTACAGGTGACACAGCACTGGCATGGGCTGCCCAGAGAAGTTGTGAAGGCTCCTCCTTGGAATCCCTCAGATGTGGTTCTGAGCACCCAGCTCTGGGTGTCCCTGCTGGAGCAGGCAGACCCAGAGGTGGCTTCCAACTCTGACCATTCTGAGATGTGAAGATCTAAGCTGGTATTTTGCAGTGAGATCCTATTGCTAAAACTACTGATTGAAGTTGCATATTAATGTTCGATCTCTGACAGCCCTCTGCTTTTAACTGTAGGTTCATTGTGGACTCATTGTGGTTGCCTATAAGGACGGCTGCCCTGCACATCCACATTTCATGGATCCAAATCTTTGCTCACAGTACTGGAATAAGTGGCTTTTGCGTCTTGAAGAATACATGGACAGAAACTGACCCAAACTAAGCTATGCAGAGGCAAGTGATCTGAGCACAGAGCTGAAGCACAAATCATTTGTTTAAGTCTTTATTTAGTAATTCTGTTCTTAGTAACTCGAGTGTAACATCTATCATTTTTTCCCCTTAAAAAAAAAAAAGAAAGAAAGAAGAAAAATCAGAATGGGAAATGCACACTTGTCTAAGTTGTAGGAGACTTTAGTGGACGTGGCAAGACAGAGTAGAACCTGCATCATCCCTATATCTTTCCCTCCCGGTCTATGCAATTTGAAGTTGATAGGAAGGTTTATACAGTCAGTTAGCTAGATGAACTAAAAACTGTTCAATCATCCTCCTTTTGTTTTCAAGAAAAAGCTGAGACTCTGAGAATGAAAAATAAATGAATATTGTTGACTGGGTTACAGTCAAGTTAGATCTTGCCCATTTCAAAGATATCTATTAACAGGCCTGTTACTATTTGTGTTTTTTCTTACAGCAACAAATGCAAAACTTGCACTATGAACTACAACCAAAGCTCACATAAGTACTTATTTTAAATGTTACAAAAAAAGTTGATTGTTTAACAGAAGTGGCTTAGGAGCAGAGGAGCAGAATTGTAACTGATACACATAGAAATTTCTAGCAGGTGTTTTAAAAGACAGGAAGTTTATTACTTCTGGTAGCTCCTGCAGGTTCCAAAACAGGCTGTGTAAAAAGCCCATGGGCTAAGGAAAAGAAATGTGAAAATGTAGATGGGCTACGTGCCTTTGGTGGTGGGCTGATAATGGACACTGCGCAGGGCAAGTCTGCAACTATTTTCAGCTTTCCTGACTTTCTTGTGAGTCTGAGCAGATGAGGAGCCTACCCGTGCAGAACTATTTCTAGTGACAGGTTTAAGCATTTTCCAGTGCAAGTGGATTTCTTTGCAGTCACAGATTTCTGTGACTTTGAAGCTGGGCATTCTGAAAAGCACTTTTTTTTTTTGAGATTGCCTTTGTTTTGTTGTTTAAAATAACGTGAGGAATAAATGTTCTAAAACAGAGGAGTTAATTTGAAGCTTGTTTCATACAGTCAAGTTTACAGACATAGAATAAGTCATGATGTCAGGTGACAACACTTTGTGTGTTACATCTGGAAAAACTTTTCCTCATTCTCTTTATTTTCTCTGATTTACATGCACGAGTTTTCATAATATCGCTGCAGATTACGTATAGAAATACAACTGACTTACAGGCTTCAAGAAAATCAGCCAGAACCATACCTAAAAAAATAATGAGCAAGCTTGCTGCAGAAGGAATGTAAGCCTGTGTTGTGTTTGATACTCGACTCTTGTAGAGTACTGAACTGTGAACACTTGCGCAATAAAGCTTTGCTGGTTGTGCCGGTCCGTGCTTATTCAAACCACGAAGTGGTGATGGCATGATTACTCTGAGCTTAATTAGATTTCTAAGGAGACAAACATGGAGACTGAGAAACTGGGTTCATAGATGACTAATTGTAACAAAGCAGTGTGAATACTCAGTTGTACCTGTTTGGCAAGTACATCTGCACATCACAGGATTTGAGCAAGTGGGTAGGTCAGTGCCATTGGAGATGGTCAGTTAGACAGCTCTGTGGATGCAAAGAAGGGCAGCATAAGTGAGAGAGACGATGCTTCAGGCTGAAGTAGGTGGTGATAAAATGTTCTGAACTCTTTGTGTTGATTAGGATTGGATAAATAAAATTGAGCAACATTGGGATGGGATTGCCTCCTGCATCAGTGCATCAGCCATTAGATGTCCCTGAGCTTTGTAAGTTTTCATCCTCACCCTGCTTCCTACTGAATGAGGCCTAGTTGAGCCTGGGCAGCATAGGCATCTGTTGGCTTCATCTGTGTTCATTTGTTTATTACAAAAGCCTTTCTGAGGAAGGTTGCCAACTTCATTAGCAGTGCCAGTTTGTAAACCTATTTTTAAGTCTTGGATTAATTTGTAACATCAGAGAGTCAGGGGAAGGTAGACAGTATCAGTGGAAGTTACTCATGTCTAGCACTTCTGAAAGCCTGGCTGCCTCAGGCATCCTCATGGGAGTTCTCAAACTACTAAAGAGGTAAAGGTGTTGCCAGTTTTGTCCCATAACAAGCTATTGCCAGTCCCATGCAAACTCAGACCCACTTTGTCACCAGTTTAGCATTGCTTCTCAGACTGTTAAATTGACATGCCCAAGGCGTCTGCTACAGGGAGTATCTGTCCTCTGTAGAAAAACCTGTCAGACAGTTCAGGGCAGTTACTGCAACTGTAGTGTCAAGTTTGTTGGAACTTTGCTATCCATCCAGGGCAGTTTTGTTTCTGTGTACTGTTACACGCTACATTATTCTTTTGCTGTGAATGCTTTTTTTGTCTAAAATCACATAGATGACCCACCTCGACGTGTCTCTTTCTTTGGCAAAGGTATCATTTGGCAGTGGTAACGGAAGGAAGTCAAAAGCATTGGTTCCTACAGTGGGAAGAGCACCTACCTCCTCCTCACACACAGCATCACAAATTCCCCATCCAGTTAAAATAGGTGGGAATGGTTTTAGCTGCTACGCTACTGCTCCAAGGGCTGTTGTTTCAGCAGAGCTAAGCATACGGATCCTTTGTGGTTAGGTGAATTCTACTCACTTGCTCAGGTGGCCTCTGCTGACACTCCCTCCCAATAGCTGAACTCAAGTCATGCCTGGGACTGGACTGTGAGGGTTAAGGGAAGTGACATCTGTATTACTACACAGTTCAGTTATAATGGCACCATCTCAGAAGAGCTGAGATTAGCGTGTGAGCCTTAGCAGTTTTTGCAAAGTATCTTCTAAATACTTCAGATGCTTTTTCTTCCTTAGGTTTACTGTTTATTAAAGTATTTTTCAAACTTTCCTGTTACATAGCAGTGAAGTTTGTTCTTAACATAGTAGCATCACTTTATTATCATCATTTTCAGTACCTCAAGCACGTAGATTTGTGCTGGATCAAATACTAATACCGCCAGGAAAACTGCTGAAAGCTCTTCCCTGTGAGAACCCAAGGAGATGTCTGTACAAGACTGAGGTATCTTGAGGTTTGATTTTGTTTTTTATTTTTTTGATTCCTACGTAGATACTCAGAACCTTACAATTTAAGTGGTAATGGTTATGAAGGTCCTGGCCAGGTGAGTTACAGTTCATTGCTCATACAGAGCATTTGTTTCAATATGTACAGAGTGGGATATATTTTTCCAAAAATATACTTCTATTTTGAGCCCAAAATAAATATTGGGAAAATTACCAATGAAAACCATTAATTGTTTAGCATTTAAATTAATCTAAACTGTGTTCAGCAGCTGTGGCCATTAAGATATGAGACATGAATAAATGTGCTTGGACTGGTGTAACTTGGATTGTTGCTGAGGAAGTTACCACCCCACCCTGTCTTTCCTAACTTAGACACCTGAGTGCCCAGTAAGGGTTGCAGCAGCTTCTGAAGAGATTTACAGTGTTGGATATAAGGGGAGTCCTAAAAGCAAGGACATAGTACTGGTCCCTTGTCATCAGCACACCACCTTCTCTGGTAACATCAGTCTTACTAGGAGCCATCTAAACTAACAGTGATTAGGGGGGAGTTATGCATGCAGCTTTGCACTTGTCTCATGAGGCAGACAGCCTATGTCACACTCTTATCTGCTTTGCACAGCTTTGTTATACTAATGAACAGGCACCTGATCTTTAAAAATTTAAACAACCCACGTTCACGCGCACACCATAAAATACACACACAGTTACACTCCATTGTGACAGAAAATACGTATCTTTCAATTGTTAAAAGGATTTCTTTGGGGTTCTGGCTTGGTATTGATTTAAGTTAAAAGGATTTGGTAACAATTCCCAAGTGAGCATGAGGAGTCCAGAAAAGTCAGCGTTAAGGTTGCACTTACATCTGAATAGGTTGAAATGATTTCACAGCTTGAAGTCCCTAGAATGCGAGTCTCTGTGCTGGAAGGGGAAGTTTAGGAGGGAAAAAGGTCTGTGTTGTTTTAAATAAAGTTTCAGCTCATCTTGGATAACGGTTCTGCAAATTGTTCATTTACTGCACAGGGGGCAGAGCTAAGGTTATTTGCACGTTTAAACTTAAGTACCAATACCCTGTACTGTTTGTAAGCCAATTTTAATGAACTTTGCACATCAGAACAGCATACTAGGAGCCGCTCTTACGTGGCCCCTTTCACCCAAACACCTCAAAAATAGTTTTTGCAGGAGGTAACTGTTAATGTCTTGAAGAAATGTGCTGGGGAAAGGTGAGCTTCTTTGTCAGCACCGTTCAGATGTGTAGGAGAGCTGAAATGGCAGTCAGGTTACCTGAATGCCAGGGTCAGTAAATACTCCATCTTAGGGTTAGGGTTTCCATTTTTTTGACCAGATAAAGTCTGACGTTTGTATGATTTGTGGGAATATTTCTTTCAAGTTGAGGTTCTACCAGTATCAAGAGAGTCCCATTAACAAAAATATCCCTTTCAGGGATTTATTTCAAAATAGTTTTTTAAAAAAATAATATATATGTAGTCCTACGTGTAAACTTCATTCCTGCAGACCATTGTAATCCACCGCGTTACTCATCTTTGTCGTCATCTTTGGAGCTCCTCTGCAGGACAGGGCTCAGTTTGTTTTGCAAGACCGCTGCGAGTTTTTTTGAGGTTTTTTTCAGGAAGGCACTGCTGGGGTGGACGCTGCTGACATGCAGGTACAGGTCCTCCTGCGTGGGGCCGGTGTAGCCGCAATCCTCGCACACGTACAGTTTGTCCCGCCTCTGTTTGTAGGCGTATTGCTGCTGCACTCCGTGAATCTTCTTGAGGTGGGATTCCAGGGAACACCGCTGGGTAAATGCTTTGTTGCAAACCTCACATTTGTAAGGACGAATTCCTACAACGCCAAAAGAGGGCCATTATTTTTCTGGTTTACATTTATTATAGCCAAGAAATCAGCTGAAAGCAAGGCTGCCTTCTTAGATAGCAAGCAGGCACCTAGCACTAAGTAGCTGCTAGCCCAAGAAACTGTGAATAGAACATTTTACTTTTAGGCCAAAATCGCGAGTGGTTTGATATATTTAGGAGCGTATAAATGTTTTGAGGAGATGGAAGCAGGAGCTGAAGCTGACTGGTGGCCATCACAGCTTTGGTCCCAAAGAAGAAACAGTTATCTATTCTTGCAACACTTATTCCTTTGAAGACCTGACTTAAAATTTTAGTTCTGTGGTTAGGTAGAGCTGTTGGTTTTAGCTAACTGCTCATTTTGGTGCTTGTAATGAACGAAATTTTGTGTCTTGGTAAGTAATTATACTCTTTTAGTGACTCTTCAGTGGATGGCTGCCAAACATGGACGTACAGAGATCACAGCACTTCCAATGAGCAAGAGTGTTTTCATAAGATAGAGTATTAATTATTGTGATTACAGGCTTGGGTTCTACAAAATAGTGTACTGAGATGAAAAAAAAGTCTCTGTGCGTCTCTTGGAGGAGGAAGAACACAAGTGGCTTGTGATTTGAATGCCTGAATACTTTCATTATAAAAAGCAGAGAAGAGTATCCACTTTATCACCAATCAACTGATTTAACAACAATAGCTCCTCAGTGCTCAGTGGATGAACACCTGGGGGTTTATCAACACTTGAAAAACCCAAACATGGTGTGTGATTTTTCTTACTACAGAGTAGCTCAGTACTAAGGCCAGCCTTAAAGCTGATACAACATGCTATCCCAAGCCCGCTTTGATAAAAGTATGTATCAGTGAGCAATAGGCAAGGAATGGTGAAGAGCAAAGCTGCCATGTTCCTATGGTGTTAAATTAGTCATCAAACTGTGTTAAGTTTGCCATTTACTTGCTGGAATCTTGTTACCAGAAATCCAAACTAATTGGGAGTTCCAATCAAAAGCATCTTGATTGCATTTTTGCAAGTCTTGGGCAAGGAGTTTATTCCAAAGTGTTAGAACTGTCAAACTTGAAGTGTTAATTTCCTAACACCTACTGCTGTGAGACTGCACCAGTGGCTTCAGTTACACTGAACTGCAGTTGGAGAGAAACTCCAAATCTTTCTCAGAATTCACAAACAAAAAACGCATCCGTTACAAACAGTATTTTGGGTGTGGTTTTATGCTCACCCAGCATCAGCGTGGGTCTGCACTTAAGGCAGCTGACCAGGGTCTGTGCTTCTCCACTGCTTTTGAATCATTTCACGATTTCATTTTACTGTGCATGTGAGTTACTTAACATTGAACTCTGTATGTGCCATGCACCTGGGTTAGCACATTTGGCTGTCCCACTGTTACATCTGGCTGCAAGCAATTTCCACTGGAACACCAAATTCAGGAAAGCAAACCCTAGAGAAAAAAGCACAGCCTGTGCGTAGCCTGGCTTTATGCTGGAGAGGAGAAATGGTAACACTGGATTCCTCTGATTAAATTTGGGGACAGTTTAACTGTAAGTCACTTGACGTGGACTGTAGTGTTTCAGTTCTGTTCACTCCAGATCCTTCTTCCTCCACATCCTTCTTCCTCCACAGTTTTACAAAATCAGTTCAATCCTGACTGTTGAGTTCAGCTGTCCCAGCCACAGCACAGATGCCTATGGCTTCTGGTGAGAAACCTTGCCCTAAGCAAAGTGAGTTTCTGAATCCAAAGAAGAGGACTTGGGTAGAAAACACCACCTCTTCCTGAAGCATTGGCTCTGCCCTTCAGGCACAGCCCATTGGTCTCAGTTGGAAGATTTCCTGGCCACTTGGCAAACCTAAACCAGCCCAGAACACTGGCCCTGGCCAACGTTCTCTCATCAAAATGGGCAGCATTGTTTTCATGACATCTACTGATAAGGAACAAATCCTGTCTACCAACAGACTTGTGCTGCTAGCCATGCACCTGCTTAATTCTGCCTAATCCTATATGCCAAAGAAAAGGGCATTGCAGAGCAGTCCTGGAGGGAGCAGCGAATGCAGAAAGGTGGAACATGCCTGGGAGAGGCAGATACTCTACCAGGTGCCCCATGGTGGGAATGGAAAGGCTCCTGGTGCGAGCAGCCTGGCTTTACAGAGTGCCCTATGTGGTGGATGTGGGCTTGATGTGTGCTTGTGCCATTGCTTTCACTTAGGAAGAAAAAAGAAGAAAAGGAAACCAAAAGAGAGCATCCTTCTCCCTGTTCCAGGTTAGCAAAAGGCTCTGAAATGGTTTGCTTCCACCTGAGCTCATTCAGAATGCAGCTGGGCCCCAGCCCCAACATTTGAATGGCTGCGGCTGAAGCACAGCCTTGGAGCTCCCAGTTGGCTCAAGCTGCGTTCTGCAGCAGAAGCCATGCGTGTTGCTTGCTGGGCTCAGCAGGCACCAAATGCATCGCACGGTCTCCCAGAACCCAGAAGCACAGCATACATCACGGTGCCTCCTCCAGATGCCAAAACTGACCCCCGAGTGCCCCCTTTCCACAGAAAAGCCCGTGGCGGTGCAGCGCGATGGAAGAAACTGCTGCTCGTTTCCTCTAGAGGGCAAAACGCCTTCACTCGGCGCCCGCGCAGCTCCCACCCCGCCGGTTACCCTCGGCCCGTCCTCTCGCACCCATCCCGCCGCCGTCTCACCGGTGTGGGTCCGGACGTGGCGTTTCAGATCAAAGGTGTCGTTGAAGCCCTTCCCGCAGAAGGTGCACAGGTGCCTCTTCACCTGGCTGTGGCACTTGACGTGCCGGTTCAGCATGCGCTGCAGGCGGAAGCCCTTGCCGCACAGCTCGCAGGAGTGCACGGCGGCGTCGGTACAGGTGCCTGTGGTGAACTGGGGAACGGGAGAGACCGGGTGAGTGGATTGCGGGCATGGCAAAGCCCGAACGGAACCAAAAGTGGAAGGGGAGGACTGGCTCGTGTGGCAGCGAGGGACGTGGCTTAGCGGGCGTGGTGGTGATGGGTTAAGGGCTGGACTCGATGATCTCAGTGGTCTTTCCTAACCTTAACGATTCTGTGACGTGCCGGGACGCGGCACGGCGTCCCATTCAGAGTAGCTCCCGTGCGCTGACGTCTCCCTGCAAACATCGCTATTTCCCACCGAAGCGCCCGGGGTTAGCGGTGTTTCTGCCCACAGAGGTGTTGTGAGACAAAGTCAGGCTGTGCTGACTCAGCGGAGCCTACAACAATGGCCCTGATCTCCTGTCAGCCCCCCTCGCTCGTTAATTCATTTGAGGCTGTTATTACAGGTTAATCGCCTTTCTACTACTAAAATTGTTGTGCCAGCTCCACAACCCAACCTGACGGAGGGAGACACGGATGATTCAGCTCTGAGGAAGAGCGTTCCTCACAAGGAAGGTTTCTATGCAAATGCCCGGCCATTATTTTAATTATGCTCAGTGCAGCTGCCGCCAGCCCTTCCAGCCAGCAGCACCGCACGCACACGCTGTCAGCACTCAGGGGCTCCCGGCAAGTTTCTGTGGCATCTGCAGAAAACCCAGCGCTGCAGAAACGGAGCTGAGCACAGATCTGTTCTCGTGGACTGGGCTGTATCTTTTGCTGTTCATGCAGGCTAAGTTGTAAGAAATGGGCTCAAGTCAAAGCGAGAGGAACAGTCTGGGGTTTCTGTGAAAAAGCACTTGGGGTTTCTATGAAACAAGACGAGCAGCAGAGGGGAAAGCGTGTGCGGTCAACAGGTGGGGCTCCCCCTCATCCTGGCTGCACGGAAGGGGTGGAAAAACATAAGGTGATGGCTGAACCGCCGCAGCCCCACCACGGACTGTGGGAATGCTTACAGCTCGGTCCGCAGAGCAGCGCTCAAGGCTTAACGCGGTGAGAACCGGCCCCTGGGTAACGCAGCTCCGCCCCAGCACGGGGGCGGCCGGGGTGCTCCTGGATGGACAGCGCTCAGCCCAGCGCATCCCATTGCATCCTGCATCCCTCCATGTCCTGTATCCCATATTCTGCATCCCTCCATACCGACTATCCCACCGCACCCTGCATCCCCCCTGTGCCCTACATCCCACCACCTCTCTTGGGACTGAAAGCGCAGCCTCGCCTCGCCGGCTCTGCCCACGGGATCGAGCCTATCATCGCTCCTACCTGCAGCAGCGAAGCTAACGGGGAGATAAGCGCTTCCTTCTCTCCGGCCCGCGGTTCCCCTCTAAGGTGCGGACGGCCCTGTGCAGCCCCGGGTCAGGGCCCGTCTCTCGATAAGCCGAGAGGAAGGTGGGGAGCGGGACGACCCACGCAGTGCCCCGTGCTCCCCGCCCGGAACGGGGCTCTGCGGGAGGCTCCGTGCCGAGGAGCGGGGCCCACCCGCGCGGAACCGGAGCCAGGAGCGGCGCGGCGGGGCAGAGCTCGGGAAGGCAAAGTGCGCGGGGCCATTACCTTGATTTTCGACCTGACGGCGGGGCGCCTGACGGCCAGGTCCAGCAGCATCCCCCCGGGCGCGCCCAGCTCCTCCGGGGCCGCCTGCGGCGTTGGGGGGTCTCCGAGATCGGGGTCCCGCGTCCCGCTGCTGCCGCTGCTCTCCAGGCTGCAGCTGTCTTCGTAGCCCGGGGCGCAGCCGAGGCCGCCTGCGGCGGGTGAGGATGGTGAGACAAATGGAGCGGGCCGGGGGCGGCCGCGGCGCTGAACCCGCGGGAGAGCCCTCGGGTTGAGGGGGTGGGGGAGGTTCTCTCCGCGATCGGAAACTCAAACAACGAACGGTCCCAAAGTTCAAACGGGCGCAGCTCCGCCGCCTTCCCGTTATACCCCGGGCAAGGACAGGCGGCGGGGAGGAGGAGAAGGAGTAGGGAAGGGGGGGGACCGGGAGGACACCCCCGGCCCTTCCCTTCCCTCCCCCCGCCGCCCACCTCCCCCGTCGCCCTCCCCACCCGCGGCGTCCCGGTGGCGAAATGGGGCCGCCCTCCTCCGTTATTTGGGGTCCCGTGGCCCCGAGGGGCTCAGAGCGGAGCGGCGGATCCTTACCTGGGATGTAGGTGTCGGCGCGCTCGTCGTCGGGCAGCCCAGCCCAGCTGCGCACGGCGGGCTGCGGGCTGCGCCGCTTCACCAGGAAGGCTCTGGGCATGGCGAGGGCGGGGGGCGCGGCGCGGAGCGGAGCTGAGCTGAGCTGAGCTGAGCGGTGTGGCACACGCGGATCGGTGCGGCGCACAGGAGCGCTGCCGGGGCCGGGCCGGCCGCAGCCCGGCGGGGCGCAGCGCTGCCGTGCGCGGGGCGCGGGACCGCACGCACCGGGGCAGAGCCGCGCGAGGAGCGGGGAGGGGAAGGGGAGGGGTGGCTGGAAAGGGTGGGGGGGCGGGGGGGGGGGGAAAGTTTCATAAGGTGGAATAGAAAAATGCACCAGGAAACTTGGGAAGGAGCATGCGTGCTGCAAACATAACGGTGTCAACAAGTCTGCTTACCTGTCCGACCGGTTGGAGCAGCTGAGCTTTGTTCCAGCCCTTCCTAAGGCATGAATGTTTGCAAAAGAATTTAACGTCTGAAAATTAAGAAAAGAAAATAAAAAAAGCTCACGAGGAGTCGGGGGGAACCGCTCGTCGTTACCCTCCCGTAGCCCGGAGCGGCGGTGCCCCCGGCCCCGTGTGCGGGGCTGCTCGGGGCGGTGTGGGGCAGAGCCAGCAGAGCGGGGCTGTGCGGGGCAGCCGTGCCCTCGGGGCGACAGCGGGCAGGAGAGCGGCTCTCGGCGTTACTCAGCTTCACCACCGGCTTTCCTTCTGCGAGCGAGAAGGAAACAACAACAAAAGATGGAAAAGCTTTATTCTGTTTTATTCATTTATTTAAAGTAAAAAACGTGTCAAGGCCTCCGACTTTTCACTTCTCGCCCCTCGTCCCCCCCCTTTTTTTTTTAATTGTCTCTTGTCCTCTCTCCTCTTCCCGAAGTGGAAACGAAACAAAAGAAAAGAGGACGGGTTGGGGGGAAGGAAGCAAAAGAAACAGAAGAAAACCCACAAAACAGCGTTGAAGAGCCTCTGAGCGCAGCAAAGCCCCGCGCGTGGTGTGTCCTTGAGCACCGAACAGCGTTCTGGGTGCTCCCTGCCCTGCGCCTGGCACCGCGCAGTCCTTCCTCCCCGCACATCTCCATGGCGCTGCCCTGTGCCAAGGGGCCTCCAGGCATCGCTCTCCTTCAAGGTTGCCGTGTTCCTCCCAGAGCAAAATGCCACAGGGAGATGATGGGAGGGAGGAGGAGGGGGGTCGGGGTGGGTTTGCTGCTGATTCCACCAGGGTAAGGATTTGGTGTTGAGAGCCAAACCTGAAGGTTCTGAAAAGGACATGCCTCCAAATGAAACGTCCAAATTGAAGATCTGTGTTCAATTCATGTCCCCAGTGGGACTGAAGCCCCTTGTGGGCTAAGGATGGAGCAGAGGTGCTCACCAGGCACCCAGCTGGGAGCTGCTCTTTGGGATGGTGCAGTCTGGATGAGACTCAGGAGAGATCTTATTGCTCTCTCCAGCTGCCTGAAAGGAGGCTGTGGCCAGGTGGGTGTTGGCCTGGGTTCCCAGGTAACAGTGGTAGGACAAGAGGTGATGGCCTTCAGTTAGAGGTCCTCTGAACCAGAGGAGGTTCAGATTGGATATTAGGAAACATTTATTCTCATGATCGAACACAAGCAGAGGATGCCCAGGCAGGTGTTGGAAATGTGGAGATGAAGGACATGGTTAGTGATGGTGATGAGCTGACTGTCAGACATGGTGATCTTTGGGTCTTTTCTAACCTGAACAATTCTGTGATTCTATGGTTTGGTAGAAGTGAGGCAGGAGAGCATCACCACCTGTCTTCACAGCCTCCATTGCTGAGAGCACCCAGAGGGAAGAGCTGAGAAGCCCTCTCCAAGGAGCTGCCTTTGAGGGACAGTGCCCAGCTTTGTTCTCCTCAGTGCCACCGTCACCCCCCAGCCACCCAGGGCAGCTCAGCACACAGGGACTGCAGGACCTGTGGTGCCAGGGGAGGTGGAACCCAGTGTGCCCCAGGGCACCTCAGCGATACCACGAGGAACGCTATTCCTTTCCTTCTCTTTAAGGCTAAGTGATTTCTCTGTTATGTCTGAGATTTTGCTCCAGGTCAGGATAAAACTACACAGGTTTTAATTGATTTTTTGAAAGGCTTTCGACTTGAGGTTTCTTTTATTTTAACCACTCCTTGTCTTTTAAGCCAAAAGAGGTAGCAAATGTCATTAATCACAGCACTCCTGTACCAAGAGCTCTCTGGGACTGCTTCATCATGCTCTTGCCTTTTTCAATCCCTGCTTTGAGGTCCCCACTCAGTAAGGTACTGGAGGACATACTCAGCTCCCTTTGGGTGCTCCACACCATGTGTGCACTCACTCACATGGCTAAATCAGGAATTATAATTATGGCCAGTTCCGGAGCCTAATGACCACCTAATGAGTGGTCAGGGCTGCAGTGTGCCCAGCATTGGTGGTCTTGCAGCTTCTGGCAAGGCAAGAGGACCAGGGCACCATGGTGGTGATGGGCGAGCTTCTTCATGCTGTTATTCAACCCAGAGGAGCCTGGGGAGCAGGCTCTCAGCATGACCCCGCAAACACCATTGTAGGCAAATGCATGTGGTGCCACAAGCAGTACCCTGGGGCTGTGCCTCCCCCCAGCGAAGCAGCCCCATGGATGTGGCACAGGGCAGCTGCCGTCCTTCCCAGTCGGCTGTGGGAGAAAAGCCAAGCAGAGCCCGAGCACTGTAACTGCTTAACAAATAGCAGTGCTAACGAGACTGCGTGGTACCAACCTTTCTGTGGGACCTTGCTTAATTTTCAGCCTTAGCTGGGTGTGGGAGAAAATCCGGTACGTCATATTAACATTTTGGGTGTAAATCAAATTAAACGTACAAAACGCCCCGTAGGGTCAAAGCACAATGGGACCCACCCTTACATATTTGACTACTAAAATGGGCTTCATTTGACTCAAATCATCTGGGAATGAAAAGGGAAAGATGGGATCAAACACTGCACAGCAGCCATGAGACGCTGTCGCAATCACATCCCTCCCGCATGCAGCCCTGCATGGGGATGGGCTCATGTCCCTGGTAGAGGGCTGTCCTCACTGCCAGCCCCGTGCTGGTCCATATAATGCCAAAAGGAAGTGGGAAAGGCAAGGTCAACAGCTGAGACCTGGGTCTGGAGAGTAAGGGGAGGGACTGGGTTGGAGGGGGCAGAGAGGAAAGGAGTGGAGGGAGAAATACATGGGAAAGGAAGCAAATAAGTATGAGCAAAGGCATTTGTCTGCTGTTAAGGGAGTGGTGAGGGCACAGGTCTATCTGCAGACAGAAGGTTTGAGCGTGGCCATCATCGTGCCACCTAGAAATACAGAGACACCAGCCTGAGGGGATGAGCTCCACGCCAGTGATGCACAGTGCTTTCTGGTGATTTCTTTAGATTTTGAGCCAAACAGGCTGGATGGAGAATGTGTGGATGTGACATGTCACCTAAAGCACAGATGGTCCTCTGTTTGGGCGCAGGAGATGTGAGCAGCACCACCAGCTGTGATGTCCCCAGCAGCATCCTGCTCACAGGGATGGCCCGGCCGCCAGGCAGCACCACTCCCAGGCCACATTGTCACGTCTGCCCCAGTTAGGTGTGCCACACACTCAGGAGGAGGCCACAGCATTTCCCCAACCAGGAGAGCGATCTGCTCATCTTGGCTGAGCCATGAAGGAGGGCAGCAGCGGGTGCCAGCCAGGAGAACGTGGCGCTGGGCCTGCAGCAGCCCTGCCATGCTTCCAAGCGCCCCGCCGCGCTGACTCACCGGCTCCCAGCCTCCCACAGCCCCTGCCACTCCCAGCGTCTCCCTGTCTTTCCGCACCGATCCGTCCGCTCCTCTCCCAGCTCAGTGCTGTCTCCCTGCCACCCACTCGCCGTGGCTGTGCTCCCTCAGGCACCCAGAGCAGCCCCAGCTGCTCCCACTGTTGCCTCCAAGTGCCCCTGGAGCAGTGCGTGTGTGGCTGCCAAGCGTCACACAGCCATGAGCTCCTCACACATGCATGCTAAAGGGAGAAAACCACTCCTGTTCATGTTCCCACCATGCTTGGGCGAGGATTCACCAAGAGCATAGCTTTCATCAGACACCAGAGAACCCACCGAGGTGCCAGGAGATGGTTGCCTGCTCTGTAGGCAGGACATATATCTATATGGCTTCTCAGGTGGGGCGTTGTCCCTTCTCTCCTCTTGCTTGGTACAGGGCTGGTTTGATCACAGGAGCAGTGCTGGTGGGCTTTGGGTCCTGCTGGGCACAGAGGTGCCAGTACCCATGAGAACAAAGAGCTTCTGCTGAAGGGGCAGCTCAAGGCAGGGTAGCATATGGAAACCTTGTACTCCTTATTTCCTTTCAAGCACCACGCTTTCCCTCATCACATCCTGCTCAGCTCTCCACACCACCGCAGTTCTATGTCCCCACGTCTCTGCTTGGATGGTGCATGCCACCCATGTGAACGCCAGGAAATATCCCCCAAAAGCCACATTTTCCCTGCATTGCTTGCCTGAAGCTCTCCCCAAGAAGGCTGCTGCCAGTGGAAGAAGGCTGGGGCATGACCTAGCCAACCCCTTCCTAAAAATAATGAGCCCCACTTCCTGCAGCTGGCACAGCTGATAACGGGGCAGGCTCCAGGCTGCGCTCCCTGCCGACCGCATCTAACATCCCCCTCCAGCTCAGGGAGAAAATCTCCATCCCCAAAGGACAAATGGCATCTCTGGGGCTAGGGAGATACTTCCTCATTCCTGCAGGACGAACAGCTGCAATAAAACCCATTGTATGCATATGGGCCTGTCACACTTCTTTACCATTTCAAATGGGTGGGAGTCGACCTTTGGGAGCGGGCAGCTGGGCGGTGGGTGCATTCCCTTCACAAGCGGGTGGACACAAAGGAGCAACAAGGAGAGATGAGGATGAGATGGAGAGAGAAATAACTGTCTTGGGCCGGGCTCAGGTGCTCGGGAAACATCCTGAGGTGTTTGCAGCAGTGGAAAGAAAAGAGGTTGTCTGAGAACCACAGATCCCCACTGCCTGGTCTGCCCCTGACTGGGCCAGGGGCTGTTGAGGTGCCTGATCCTCAGGTCAGGGCCAG